GAGAGAGGGAAGTGGAACAGTGAGGTTACAGGGGGCTGAGGTCAAGAAGATGCAGGAGTTTTATTTGGGGTCAACAGTCTAGTGTGATGGGGAGTGTAGGAAAGAGGTGAAGAGGTGAGTGCAGCCAGGTTGGAGTGGGTGGAGAAAGGTGTCAGGAGTGTTGTGTACAATTTTTGACACTACTGTGTATACTTTAGTCACACCACAATGTCTGCAGGAGTTGCACACCAGATCTTCTAAATTATTGTAATGTGCTGTATTATATTATACTGTATTATATTTTCCTACCTCATGCTTAGTTCTGTTCTTCTATAACATACATTCCCTTCTGAAATCTTAAACTGTTACTCCACACTTCACTTGGAGAGACCATGCTTTCTGCCTTCTAAGAAAGGGATATGTTATGCAATGTTAGATCAGTTTATCAAAGAGTGAATTCAATTTCATATTCAATTAAAACACAGCTGTCCCTGGTAGGCTAGTCGTTAAGGCACAGCGCTCTCGCCGCTGTGGCCCGGGTGTGAGTCAGGGTTGCGTCAGGAAGGGCATCTGGTGTAAAACACATGCCAAATGTCAACATGCTAGTCGTCAGTGTGACAATTCGTTGTGGTGACCCCTAAACAGGAAAAGCCAAGAGTGACTTTCATTCAATTAAAACACAATCTGCCCAGTAAAAGCCCTTCAGGTAAAGGTAAATGAGTTAGTATGACAATCCTGCAGGATCTCTACAGTTAGCTTTTACCCATTTCTTCTCTCACTGCAGTTTTGCAGAACATTAAACCTCCAATATAGGTTCAAAGTGAAGGTATGTAATGTTGCAAGTCAGCTGGGTTTTCCATCACATTCCCAGAGTGGAAACAAGGGAAAATTGAGGCATTGAGTGGGTGAGGAGAAGGAAGGCAAAACTAATGGACTATTGATTACTGACATCTGTGGCTCCAAAAGTCGAACATCTCTCCATTGTTTTTAAGAGGCCAAATAGTGGAAATGGTGAAGTTCAACCAAACTGAGCAAATAAATTCAACACTGATACTAAAGAATATAAAAAAATATAAATTTTGCCAAAATGTTTTGAACAAACAGATATTTCATAAGCCTGTGCAGGTTCTAATTTTGTTCTAAATTGCATTTAGTAGACAATTTTTTAAATTCTACAATTATTGCTTACATTCGATTTATTTTTCTGGTAGTCATGAATCTGTTCTCTCATTTAATGTTCCTCCTGTCATTTTCAGCTCTCTCTCTGAAAGCCATTCTCCCCTGCTTTGGTGGTTGTTACCACAGTGCTCCATCTTTCTAATGATAAAAAGACTAGCATCTATGTCCTCAGTGAATAGGACAAGAAATCAAATTGAACTAGAGAAATGCATTTCCTGTCAAAAATGCCTGTGGATGCTCTGTGCTGAAGGATTGCCCTGAAAATGCTGAACATTTTGACACCTGAAAGGCATACCTCATGAAAGTATGCTGAAG